TAAACGTTGAAAAAAAAAATTAAAAAAAAAATAATAAAAATAAATAAATAAATAAATAAATAAATAATAAATACTTTATAAAAAATATTTAAAAGTTCTTTTGATTTCTATCACACAAGCACATTCTCCCCATGGCTGCCCCAGGCCCCTGCTAATATGGTTGCTGTACAGATGGAAGTGAACTCCTTTAGCCACTAAAACTCACCTGAGCTGACCACCAGGAAGTAGCCATTTGGTGCAAAGTAAAATGTGTGGAGAAAAATAATCACAGTATACCACTGTTTCTTAATATTCCATTTCAATTGCTCTGAGAGAGATAATAGTACAGGACATGCCACTTGGAATAGAGTTAAACATATTTCCTCTCCTCCCAGAAGAATTTTAGGAAAGAGTTTAAGCTCTCCCCACACTCTGGGGTGTAAATGAGGAAATCATTGGCAGCCCTTGCCCCAAAAGACTGTTGTTGATAGAGTCTTTTGAAAGACCTGGTTTGTAGCGCACCACCCAAAGATCCCAGCATGATTCATAAGTCTGCCTTGAGAGTAGCTCTTTTTGGTGAGAAATCAAAGGGTGTAAGAATCGGGGTGGCTGCTTTGGGACTGTGTTAGGAAGGAGTGCAGGGCCAGCAGAAAAGGTGGGGAGATGCCCACCTGGTACAGCCTTCCTTTGTTGAGCTGTCCACTCTCTCTTCCTTCCAATCCTACAAGGATAAGCTTCTTAAGATATTTGCTGAGAGAACTGATCTCCTGCCCTACTTCTCCTGGAAAGTATAGGATGAGCCAGCGGAAGGGGAAGAGGTGAGAAGTAAACATTGCGTGGAGGTCATAAAGGTCTGCCCTTTCTTGGAGCAGTACTGGGCCCTTTGGCCTTTACACAGGTGAGATACTTTGGATCTTATAAGATGACCTTGGTTTTGGATGCAAAATGAGACACAGTCCCACCAGAGGCCACCGTCTGAGCTGAGCTGCAGAGACCCCTAGGGATAGGCCTAGAGACTGCCATCCTGCAGAGCTGCAGATATTCTGACAGTTTTCCACAAGTCATTCTGCTCCCAGCTCATCCCGGATACTGAGGCATGTCCCTGAAGGAGAAGTTAAAGGTTTAGAAATGGCCTAATTTCCTCACGTTTTGTGAAAAATTTAGCCAACCCCCTACCTTCTAGTCCTTCAGTCATTAGCTTATTTAGTGAATAATTGTTGAGGACCTAGCCACCAGCTAGGTTCTGGGGGACAGCTCCTGCCTTCATGAAAATGACAGTCTAGAAGGGGAGCAGATAATAAACAAGTAAATCAATAAGATAATTACAGATTGTTGTAAGTCTCATGAAGGGAATAAACAGGATAAATGAGATGGTAACTGGGAGAGGCCCTTCTGTAGGGGAAAGACCTCTCTAGAGAAAGGACATTAGAGCCGAAACCTCAAGGAGGGAAGGAATAACCATTGGAAGAGCTGCAGTCCAGGCAGAGAGCATATGGAGACACGGGGAAAATCCTTGGAGCATCAGGAAGAAAGGCCGTGGCCAGAGAGCAGTGAGAAGAAGGATTTGGGAGGAGTTCACAGGAGGTAAGAACTAGGGTGTATAGGGCCTGTGGTCAGAGTTTAGGTTTTATTCTGAGAGCAATGGGAAGCCACTGACTGTGTTAAGCAAGAGTGGCAACCTGATTAAAGATCACTGTGTACTCACTGCCTCGTTGTTTGTAATAGCAGATTAGAAACAAATTCCATTGATATGGGGCCGGGTCAAATACATATAGGTTCATCCCAGTGGTCTGTAGCAGTTAAAGACTATGAGGCAGGTCTGTATGTACTGCCAGAGAAAGATTCACAGGATACCCTAAGAAGCAAAAAAACAAGAAATAGAATACAGCATAAAATATACTGCCACTATATTTTTGAAAGTGATTATATATATATATATATATATATATA